CAGGTACATGAATAAATTAAACTTTCATGTGCTATAGGAACATAAAACAGTGCAGTCATGTTGAATAAATTCTGGCTTTCTTCAAATATCTAATAACAGCTGACATATGACCCAGACATATCCTCCTAGGTAAAAATGAAAACGCACAAAAATTTGTACAAAGATGTTTACAGCAGCATTATTTATAACAGCAGAAATACTGAAGAAACATAAATGTCCATCAACAGAGAAATGCACACACAAAGTGTGGTGTGTCCTCACAATGGAATATTTTTTCATTTTAAAAATAAATGAAGCCCAATCCATGGAGCATCATGGGTGGATTTTGAAAATATTATATTACGTAGCCGGGTGTGCTGGTACACGCCTTAATCCCAGCACTTGGGAGTCAGAGGCAGGCAGATCTCTGTGAGTTCGGGGCCAGTCTGGTTTACATAGCAAGTTCCAGGACAGCTGGGGTTACAAGGAGACCCTGTCTCAAAAAAAAAAAAAAAAAAAAAAAATGCACTATGTTAATTATGAAAGCCACCTTTTACATGATTCGTTTACATAAACTACAGATAGTGGGCAAATGTCTAGAAACAGAAAGGATAGTAATTATTTATGTCTGGGGAGGCAGAAAGGGAGTGAGGATGATAGGTTTCATATTTCATGAAAGGAAAAACTTTTCCTCTTAAATTGACTTATGTTAAAGATTCTAAAATTAGGGGCTGGAGAGATGGCTCAGCAGTTAAGAACACTCACTGTTCTTGCAGAAGACCTACCTAGGTTCAAATCCCAGCACCCACATGGCAGCTAACAACTGCCCGTAACTCCAATTCCAGGGAATCCGGCACGGCAATGCACAACACAGGTGCACTTGCTTACATGCAGGCATAACACTCATACACATTAAAAAAAAAAAATTCTGAAATTGACTATGTGATTTCACATACCTGTAAATACACTAAAAAACAGAACAATTCAAGTGAGTGATTTGATTTGTGTGGTCTATCCACTAGCCTAATAAAGTTGTTAACATAATCTACAGTAAGCATAGAAGCATATTTCCATGTAATTATACATTAATAAATATAGACCTTTTCTGGAAAAGTAAAGCATACTATGTACGGGTTTTTTTTAAAGCTTTTCACAACAGTTTTAGAAAAGTTTTTTGTCAAGACCTAGTAAATCTAAACAAACCAAAGAAGTCACAGGCTAATTATTCCTCATTAAGGAAGTTCATTTCCAGAAATAAAGTGAGACAAGGGTCTTTTTAAAATGTTCCATGTGGAAATTCCTGTTTCTCCCTCACCTCCACTGTTTCAGACAAAACAACCTGATCAAGATCGACAAGAAGACAGAATTATACCTTCAATCTTTATAACTGTTGCACCCAGCTTTTTCTTCAAACTGCACATAGCTGTATACATTTACTTCTCATTTACTTCTCAAAACATTAGACAACTTAAAATATAAGACCAAATGACTTTTACTGGATATTCCTATGGATAGAAACACAGACATCCAGAAAGGCTAAGGAACATTGCTGTTTTCTGCAATTAACATCATTGTACCTTTCACTTTTCTGTCATAGTTTAATGAAGTGGGAGGGGATATCTTCCCGTAAAGAGCCCTTTCAGGGTAGGAAAAGGGACTCTTAACAGATGATCTGAGAACTATCAAACATAGAACGTAGGTCAGAAATGTACCCTGGAAATGCATCTAACACCGTTTTTTTGTTGTTGTTATTTTTTTGTTTGTTTGTTTTGTTTTGTTTTTCTTTCTAGAGGCAGACTGGGAGTAACTCCCATGCACTTTTCTATAGAGTGCCCGGCAGATTCTGCGAAAGGTTGTGGCACCAAATTAAAAGGAGTTTAAAGATCAGAACAGCAGGAAACAACAACAACAACAAAAAATCAAAGCAGGACCAAGTGGTTCCTAGAAGAGGAAGCTACAGCCTACAGTGCATAAAACAAAACCAAAAGCAGCAGGCAGGCTACGAAGGGCAGGAGAGATGCCGCCAGATCGGCTGGGAAGATGCCCAGGGGCGCAGCCCTAATCACTGGAAAAGTGCGTCCCCAGGCCCTGGTTCTGGCGTTGCCCAGTGCTGACCCCGCCAGCCACCTACCTCGCTGGCCTTCCCCTGGGACCAGAAGCATCAGTCCAGTGACCAGCACCCAGGCTCCTCCAGGCATCGCTGTGGCTGCGCGTGGCCCAGCGCGTCTCAGAGCCGGGGTCGCCTGTGTCAGGAGAATCCTGACCTCAACCCTTCCTCTCTGGACTTTCTCAGTCTGTTTCTGCTCTGCCTTCAGAGAAGCTGCAAGTCCTCAGTTTGCAGTTCGCCAGTCCTTTCCAGGGACAGCAAGAGCACTTTGGGTAGGCTCATCTGGCTCCTCCTCCCAGTCTTGGCTGTCCTCTTCTGCGAAAGCCACGCCCAACCTGTCCCTGGAGACCTGGGGCACCCAGCAGGTCTTGGAAGTACCCTCCCACCCTGGATGTCACCAGCAATAGCATGGCCAGCCACAAGCTCTGGGCTGTAGCTCTGGCACATCTAGCACTACAGTCCTAGCAAACGCTTAGAAACTACTCCAATGCATACTCTCCAAGAAGACTTGCAATTTTCTCTCAAGGAATGGGGTGGATTTTGTTGTTTTCCCACTGGGTCCTGCGCCTTAGCCTAGGCTGCTTTCGAACTCAGAATCCTGCTTTAGTCAGTGAGTGTTGGGATTATAAAGGCATTCTTTTTGTGCAGAAATGTGGCTGTGTTCCTGTACTGGGGTGCACAGGCATATGGAGACCAGAGGCCCTGGATGTCATTGTCCAGAGTCTAAGACAGAATCTCTCATTGGCCTAGAGCTCAGCAACTAGGCTAGGTTGATGGGCCAGGCAAAGATCTGCCTGCCCACCGCTGGCATTACAAGAAGGCTTCTTTGAGTGTGGCCTGGGTATTGCAGGGCAAACACTTTACTAACCAGATTGACTCTGCTCCCCTTGTATCCTAATTGTTTTTTCTAATTTTGCTTCTTTAAAAAAAATTTGACATTTTGCAATTTTCATACAACATAATTTGATGGTATTTAGATACCCTCTCCTGTCCATACCTGTCCCCACAGTTCCCCCACCCAATTTAATATAGTCTCATATATATATATATAATGCAGTCTTTAGAGTCTGATTTGTGTCCCAAAATGTCCTTCAATGTGGGGAAGTGGGAAAGAAATCCCAGCCCAACCTAAGGAAGTTTTAGCAAGGTGCTAAGGGAGAATACCAATTGATGGCCTGATACCAAAAAAACCATATCAATGACCAGCACAGAATACTACATTGATGCAGTAGTGGTACTTTTATCTTGGTGGTAATCCACAGCTACCTAATTGGACTTAAAACCCACTTATTGGGAGGAAACTGAGATGTGGTACTGTAAACATAGCTAAATACACATGGCTAGAGAAGTCATAGATCTTAGAGAAAACCACAAGGTTGTTACATCCTTAGACAAATGTAAATTCTTACTATGTGCAAAATATAGATCACTATATTTACAGACAAGTATACCAGTCATCACTCATCAAAGAAGCTTCTTCTGCAAGATGGAGACTATTACAGAATTCCACATCTGGTCACACACAAAGATTGTCTGTGAATTGCCCAAGCCTAAGTGGTACATCTACAATGCAACCTCTATCTACACCTAAAGCTCACAGAACATAGAACAGGGAAGGAGTAAAGAGGATACTAATGCATTTCTGAAATCTCATCAATGAAGCTCCCTCATGCAATAGAGGGCCAGGAACACAAAAGGTCACAAATGGCCAAAGCAGAGAGTAAGAGTCTGCAGAGCATGGGTCCTTGGTCAGGACTCCTGTAGTAAACTCCACCTACCCAGGGCTCAGGGATCATTTCAAAAGAGGGGCAGAAAATTTGTAAGAGCCAGGGAGCAGGTGCATGGCCATATGGAATTAGAGTCCTACAAGCTCCTGGGACCTTGCTCATAGGAACCTACAGCAATGGTGTCAGCATGCACAAGACCCAAGCAACCTTAAGTAGACAAAAACCCAGAACAGAACTATGGAAATGGATATCAGGCCCCAATCTTAGTTGAAGAAATATTGGCAGCTGATTCCTGCTGAGTGAGGAAGAACTGATTTTCTTAAAGGGAGGGACTCCAGCTAGACTGACTAGACCCCAGTGGATGAACTTTCATCGAAGGTTGCCTAGGACCCTAACTTGACAGAATAGGCCTTAACACAATGACAGAATGCATGAATTCCAGTGGGAGGGTGGCTATGAGATGGTGCCAGTGGGGACGGGGGTATAAAGATGATTAAGATTAATTAAGATGTTCTGTATGAAATGCATAAAAATTCAATAAAATATTTACCAAAAAAAAAAACCTGTCTCAAAAAAGTGAGCACATGATGGCCCACGCCTTTAATCCCAGCACTTAGGAGGCAGAGGCAGGCTGATCTCTGTAATTTCAAGGCCAGCCTAGTCTACATAGTGAGTTCCAAGCCAGCTGGAGCTACAAGGAGACCCTGTCTCAAAAAGATACCCCTCCCAAAAGAATTTTTTAAAAAAGTGAATGCATGAACACATTTTGAATTTAAGTTCTCTTGGTTGCACACAACTTGCTTATACATGCCTTCTACATGCCAAAAAGGCATCTAGTCTTTTAGAGTAAAAAATGAAATCTAACTTTTTAGTGGGATTAGCCAAATGATTTGCATTTAATGCCTAAATGTGTAAATACAGGGGCTTGGAGAGATGCTCAACAGTTAAGAGCAGTATCTGCTCTTGCAGAAGACCCAGGTTCAAATCCCAGCACTCACATGGTGGCTAACAACTGTCCATAACTCCAATTTCAGGAGATCCAACGCCCTCTTCTGCATGACATGGGTGCACTTACATACATGCAGGCAATGCACTCATATATATATATATATAGCAATGAAATGGTGTTTTATCATGTGTTGTGACGTTAATAAAAAAATTAGTGTAAAATTCCATTTTTTACAGTTTTATCTTTTATTTACTTATTTTTATTTTATGTGTATGAGTGTTATGTCTGCATGTATGTAGGTGCACCTATGTCATGCAGAAGAGGGTGTCAGCTCCCCTGAAGCTGGAGTTATGAACAGTTGTTAGCTGCTACATGGATGGTAGAATTCAAACCTGAGCACTCTGCAAAAGCAGGTAGTGCTCTTAACCACCAATCCATCTCTCCAGCCCCACAGTTTTAGCTTTTCAAACATGAAAGAACAACCTAAGTATTTAGCCTTGTGGTAGACCTAGTTTTATCTTCTTTAGGAACCTCTGCACTGATTTCTGTAGTAACTACACCAGTTTGCACTTCCACCAGCATGAATAAGTGTTCCCCCTTCCCCACATCCTCACCAGCACTTGTCATCTTTGATTTTTAGATCTGTTTTTTTTAAGACTTATATATTTTATTTTATGTGTATGAGTGTTTTGCCTATATGTAAGTGCACTGTGTACCTGCAATGCACATGGAGCCAACAAGAGGGCATCAGACCCCTTGTAACTGGAATTAAGAAAGTTATTTTCTGTCACGTGGGTCCTGAAATCTGAACCTAGGTCCTCTGGAAGAGCAACCTGTGCTTTTAACTGCTGAATCATCTCTCCAGCTCCTAGTTTTTTAATCTAACTATGCTGAGTGGAGTAAGATGAAATTGCAGAGTTTTTATTTTCATTTCCCTAGGTGCTAAAGAGATATACAGCAGTTTGAGCACTGGATGTTCTTTCAGAGGACTCACATTTGGTTCTTAGCACCCACATGGCAGCTAACATGAATCCATAACTCAAGTTCCAAGGGTTCCAATGCCCTCTTCAGGTCTCAGTGGATAGTCTACTCACATGGTTAACATATACACATGCAGGCCAAACACTCACACACATCAAAATAAAAATTAATTAATTAAAAAATGTCTTCGTATTGCCCTGATAGATAAAGATGTGGTATTTCTCAGCCATTTGTGTTTCATCATTTGAGAATTCTCAAGTAGCTTCTTTTGAGAATGGAACTGTTTAGTTCCATGTCCCAGTTTTTCATGGGGTTGCTTGTTTTCTTGATGTGTAGCTTTTTGGTTCTTTCTATATTCTACATATTCTTTACAGATATATAGTTTGAAAAGGTTTTGTTCCATTCTGTGGGCTGTTTATTCAGATGATGGCGTTCTTTGCTGTACATAAGCCTTTTAGTTTCAGGAGGGCCCATTTGTCAACTGTTAGTCTTAAAATCTGCACTATTAGGGTCCTATTCAGAAAGTACTTTCTTGTGCCTATAACTTCCAGTGTATTCCCTACTTTTTCTTCTGTCAGTTTCAGAGTATCACATGGGGTCCTTGTTCCATTTTGAATTGAGTTATATACATGCTAAGAGATAGGTATCTAATTTCATTCTTCTATGTGTAGATAACAGGTTCCATCAGCACCATTTATTGAAGATGTTGTCTTTTCTCTAATGTGTGTTTTCTACCCCTTTGTCAAAACTCAAGTGATGCTCCATGTTCATTCCTGTTCTATTCATAATAGTCAGAAAATGGAAACAACCTGCTCAACTGATGAATGGATATTGAAAGTATGGTCTATTAGAAAATGGAATATAATTCAGTTGTTAAGATAAATGAATGTATGGTGTCCATAGGTAAATGAATGGAACTAGAAACAGTCACCCTGAATGAGGTAACTTACATTCAAAAAAACAAATGTCATATGTTCTCTCTGATAAGTGAATGCTAGCTTTGAATGTTTAGATAGGCTAAAGATTGTTTCGATTGGAAAATCTTTAGAAGTCAGGAAACTAATAGCAGGCCATGGGGGGAGGCTGTAAGGGAGGGGAAATAGAATGCAGTGATATAAAGGGTGAGAAGGAAAAAAATGGAATAGGAAGGGTTAAACAGGGGTGGGGAGAGTGGGTGGGCAGAGTAGAGGAAGAGTATGGGAGGGGTAACTAACACTTAAAGTCTTTTCAAAAATAATTTGGAAACCTACCACTATGAAATTTTCTTAAAATACACATATGATATAAAAAGAGTCTAAATGTAGTTACCCTATAAAGGGGGACAATTTCCCTACCAGATACCACAAGCTAGCAAATAAAAATCTCAGTGCCAGGAACAGAATTCCATTTTTGGAGTTTTGGATGAGAGGGTTCCTGCACATCTTCAAACAACACTGGTTATTGCCTTTGCCATTGGTTACTGGCCAGAACTTGATAGCAAGGCTCTATTGCTGAAGATGCTATATACATAAGTCATAGAATAAACAAGGAGATATCAACCTGGTACTGATCTCAAAGCTTCATCTCTACT